TATTATTAATATACATTTATGATATATATTAAAATCAATTTTCATTAAATTTATTAAAATATGTAATTAATATATGTTTATATATTTGATTAAATACATATTCATGTTTTAATATTTGATTATTATTCTTTATTTTATTTATTTATTTTGATTTATATTTTATTATTTATTTTATGTATTTGATATTTATATTTTAAATATATTCTTATTATTTAATTATTTCATTTCATATTAATATTATTCATATTCATATTTCATTTAATTTAACTTATAATTTAATTTTATTGATATTTATATTATATAAATACAAATAGATTAATAAAATTGATATTTATTTATCTATAATATCAAATTCATTTAATTTATATTTAATAATACAAAATCATAAGATAAAATATAGAATATAAGAATAATAAACAATAATAAAATAATAATAAAGATATAAAAGATAATAAATAAATAAGATAAAATAGAAGATATAAGAAATAATAAACATATAGAATAAATAATAATAAATATTTTAACACAATAAAAAAGAATAATATCAAAAAGAATAAATAAGAAAAGAATAATAATAATAATACAAATGATAATCAATTATAATTTATTTCTACTTTAAATTATATTGTATTTCTTTTATTATATTTTTATTTCATTCATCATCATTTGTTAAAACAATTTCTTGGTATTCTTTTATTTTTCATTAATTCTTCTTCACTCCACATTTATAAAAACAATCATATCCTAATTCATTAATTGATGTTGGTATATTAATATATGTTAATGATGAACATCCATAAAAACAATGATCACCTAATTCATTAATTGATGTTGGTATATTAATTGATGTTAATGATGAACATCCATAAAAACAACATTTTCCTAATTTAGTAATTGATGATGGAATAATAAATTCATTAGTATCTTTCTTTTCTATATTCTTTCCATTGATTATTTCTAGATTATCTGGTATTTTAATACTAATTAACTCTGGTTCATTCATAAATATTCTTTCTTTACTTACAAATTGTAGATTGTCTACACTCACCGATGTCAATGATGAACATTCACCAAAACACCAATTTCCTATTTCACTCACAGATGCTGGTATGTTAATTGATTTTAATGAATAACAATAACAAAAACAACAATATCCTAATTTACTGATTGAAGATGGTATATTAATTGATATTAATGGTGAACATCCATAAAAACAATGATCACCTAATTCAATAACTGACGAAGGTATATTAATTGATGTTAATGATGTACATTCATAAAAACAACAATATCCTAATTCATTAATTGAAGATGGTATATTAATATATGTTAATGATGAACATCCACAAAAACAATGATCACCTAATTCATTAATTGATGATGGTAAATTAATTGATTTTAATGATGAACATCCATAAAAACAACATTTTCCTAATTTAGTAATTGATGATGGAATAATAAATTCATTAGTATCTTTCTTTTCTATATTCTTTCCATTGATTATTTGTAGATTTTCTGGTATTTTAATACTAACTAACACTGGTTCATTCATAAGTATTCTTTTTTCACTAATAAATTGTAGATTATCTATATTCATAGATGTTAATGATGAACATCCTGAAAAACAACCATCTCCTATTGATGTAATTGATGATGGTATATTAATTGATGTTAATGTTGGACATCCTTCAAAACATCTATTTCCTATTTCACTAATTGGTGATGGTATATTAATAGATTTTAATGATTTACATTTATAAAAACAACAATCTCCTATTTCATTAATTGTTGTTGGTATATTAATTGATGTTAATGATGAACAATATTTAAAACATTTATACCCAAGCGATTTAACTTCTAATGGTATTGTAGTTCCATATGTATTTCTATCTTGATATGTATATTCAATATTTTTATATATACTCCATTTTTCTTTCTTTTTTAAATATTTTGAATAATTTACTGGATACCATATTACTTGTTTAAATATTCTTCCATCTTTAAATATTTCATCTTTTTTATTATAAATATGAAATGTTTCAATATTAGGAAATAATTTTCTTGAATATTTATTTAAAGGAATTGGATTAAAATGAAATCGTTCAATATTTCCTTGAAATCTTTTAACCCCTATTTCTAAATTAATAAAATCATTAATATCATTAAAATATTTTGATGTTATCATTATTTCATTATATCCTAATTTCATTATTGATTTATTATTTATTAGTTGTTTTATTAGTTCTTTTATTTTTATATTTTAATTTCTTCTTTTTTATTCTTTTATCATTTTTCTATTTTTATCAATTGATGTTTATTATGAAAAACAATAAATAATAACAAATAAAATAAAATGTTATTTATTTTTATTTTTAATAAATTATAATTATTAAATATTTCATTTTATTTTATATTTTATTCATTATTTCATTTTATATTTTATTTTTATTTAATGATATAATAATAAAATATGATAAAAGATAATAAATATAATAATAAATGAATAATCAATATATTTATAATAAAAGATAATATAATTAATGATATAATTAATGATAAATAATTATGAATTCATTTATTCTATTATCTTTTATTTTTATTCATTCTTAATTTATTCTTTTCTTTATTTTTATTAATATTTTATATTTAAAATGATTATTTAAATAAGAAATAAATAATAATAATAATATAATGAATAAAACATAAATAAAAGAATGTATTAATTGATAAATTAAATTAAATAATAAAGTATTTATATAATATTTCAATAATTAATAAAATATGATAAAATAAATGATAAATGATAAATATAATATTCAAAACATAAATTAACAATGAATAAAATAATATATCAAATAATGAAGAATGATAAATAAATGAAATAATGAAATATAAAATTATTTAAATCATGATTTCATTAATTTATATTAATTTAAATCATTTTAATAAATTATAAACAAATAATTATACAACAATAATAATATAAAATATAAATATAAATAAAATATGTTAATAAATAATATAATAATATAATTATAAACAATTTAACATATAAAATAACAAAATAATATCAAATGAAAATAAAAATAAATAAAATAAATACAATAAAATGAAATAACATAAACATATAAAATAAATAATAAATAATAAAATGATAATAAATCAAATAAACAAAACATAATATATTTTTAAAATTAAGAATAAAATTAAAAATAAAAGATATAAAAATGAATAAAGAAATAAAAATAAAAGATAATATAAATTTTAATGATTATATAACTTGATTATATCATTTCATTATTCATATCATTAAATACATTTTATTTTATGAAGATGTATTAACAATTCTAATTATTTTGATTCAACAAATTATATTTCAAATTATATATTTTCTGTTATTCCTGTTGTTTCATTATTATTTTTCATCATTCTTGTTATGTTCTTATTTTATTTATTCATTATCATTGTTATGAATATAACAATATAATTTATTCATTTTTATACATTCATATTTCAAAATATCTTGTATTAGATTTTCATTCAATATTATTTTATTTATTGTTTTAATGTGTTGTGTAAATCAATATTGATTAATATCTAAAATATTAACAATTATTTGTTTTCATTTTTATTATTTGATATATTCAGCATTTTGATTCATATATTTTCTTTCTATTCTAATTATTGTAATTCAGTTGTATCAATAACAATCATATATTGTAATCTCTTTATGTTCTATTTGTTTATTTATTTTCTTATTGTTGATTATTACTTTCTTTCATTTCATTCTTCTTCAAAATCAATTTACAATATTCACTTTTCTAATTTCATGTATTCACAATAACAAATAATTTTGAATGTTTCATTCTGTTCATTTAATTTAATTAAATGAAAATGAATGATAGAAACATTCAATTTAAATCATTAAAATTTAACATCTTCTTTATTTATCATATTGAATTTCATAAAATCAATTCATTATCATTCATTACATCTTATTATCATTTATTATGATTTAATGATGTTTCTTATATTTTCATGTATATTTTATATCATTTATAATAATTATACCATTCATATTAATCAAAAAATGAAATAATAATTAGAAATGGGAAAGTACAATATTGTTATATAATTAAAGATATAGTAATGTGATGTGAATGAAAGATATAGAATAAAAAGAAATAATAATAAAATTAAATATCATAATGAAATAATTTAAATATTAATAATAAATTATAATGAAATTAATAATGAAATAGTTAAATATAATAGTATTAATATAGTATTTAATAAAATTAAAATAATAATTTATTTTTATTTATATTATTATTTTATTTTATTTATTTTCTCTTTTATTGTTAAATTTCTTTATTTTTGTTATTATTTTCTTTATCACTCCATTTCTTCATCTATTATCTTATCTTTTTCTCTCTTTTCTGTTTGATTTATTAATTTTTATACTTTTATTTTATTTTAATAACTCATTCTTATTTTATATTCTCTTCATAATAACAATTTGATTTAAGTATTGAATACTTGATTATTATCTTCTTTCTTCTTTATTTTTTATTGGTTGTATTAATGATATTTATAGTATCTATTTATTCATTTCTTATTATTATTAATTTTGATTATAATATTTTAAATACACTTGTTTTATTTTAATTTAATTATTTCAATGATATTAATATTATTGAATCTATATTGTAATTGTTTCATTATCATCATTATTAACTTTCATAAAATCAGATAATCCATTAATTAATCTATTTAAATATCTAATATCACAAATATTAATTTTATTATCAATTATTCTCTTTATATTTCTAATTTATTCAATTAAATTATTAATGATATGAATTATATCATTTTTTATTGATTTTATTATTTATTATCATTTCATTTTCTCTCTATTATCATTTGTTGTATTAAATCTTACATCATTTAATAAATGAAATAATGAAGAAATGAAATATTCTAAACAATCATATCAAAATTCTAAATCATCAACAAGATGTTTAATGAAATAATAACTGAGATAATAATGAAAATGTGAACATAAAGAATGAATATGATGAATACAATCAAAATGAATAATTGATTGTTTTGTATTATAACAACTATAAAGAATTAACTTATTTCAAATAATTCTTCCATTTATAATAAATCCATCAGATAAAGAAAGAATCATTCAATGAGAATACATAAACAATGAAATAAACAAAATTTACTATTAAAAGAAATGAAAACAAGAAATGAAGTGATTGAGAGAATAAAAAGAAAATAAGGAATAAAAGAACAAGATATAACAAATGAAAATAATATTTATTATGTTGTTTTAAACAACAAGAATAAGAGAATTATCAAATGTAACAACCAATTCAGAAGTAGATATTTTAAATTAATGAAAGAACTACATTTAAAGTATGTTGATTATTTTGATTGAAATGATTATCCAAAATAATTCATAATAACAAAAAATAAAGATTGAAGTAATAAATATTACAATGGATAGAGAGAATGATATTGCAAGATAATAATAAGAATTAAGAAGAAGAAGAACATAAATTATAGAAGATGTAATAAAAGAGGATTATGAAAATATTAATAGAACCAGAAATATAAGAAGTAAGAGAGAAAGAGAAATAAATAAAAACAATTGAGAAATAGAAGTGAGAAAAGTGAATATTAAATATATGATGTTGAACATAAAGTTACACAACTATCAATTATGAATTGTCAATGAAATTAATGAATAAAACCAACACAAATAGTAGTTTATATAAATTCATTTTTGTTATTTGGAATGTTCATTTGTAATAAAAAGATTGAAAGAATGGAAAAATAGTATTATTGTTGAACACAATGGTAGACCTAATGGTAAAGATAAAAGATAGAAATTATATTAGATCCATTCTACTATTTTAATTAAAAATGATTGTGCCTCTCCATTTAAACAATTTAAATATATTCTTGTATTAATTGATTTATTATTTATCCATTTATTGATATTATTCTTTTCTTTTATCATTTCTTTTATATCCTTTTTCTTTTTATTTCTTTATTCTCTTTTATTTTCTTTTTATTTCATTCACTCATCTCTTCATTATTCATTCTGATTGTTCATTATTTATTTCTATTATTTTATTTACTTTATATTGTTAATTTTCATTCAAATTTCAATTACACTCTAAATATTCATTTTCTACTTTCATAACATACATTCATTAATCATAATCAATATCAATCTTATGATGTATAAATCAATCTCTTGTTAATAATTTAGAACATATAGATTTAGAAAAAATAAAAAATAAAATAATGAAAATAGAATGAAAATCTTAAAAATATTAGAAATTCAAATAAAATAAAAATGGAAAATACAACAACACCAAATAATCAATTAAGAATTACATTAGGACATTATGCAACAATGATAATATCAATGTATTTTAATGATATTAAAGATTTTATTAATTTAGAAATTGGTGTTAAAAGATATAGAGGAAATATGGAACGATTTCATTTTAATCCAATTTCTTTAAATAAATATTCAAGAAAGTTGTTTCCTAACATTGAAACATTTCATATTTATAATAAAGATGATGAAATATTTAAAGATGGAAGAATATTTAAAAAAGTAATATGGTATAAAGTAGATTATTCAACATATTTAAAAAAGAAAGAAAAATGGAGTGTATATAAAAATATTGAATATACAAAAGGAGATATATGGAAATATGGAAATACAATACCACTAGAAGTTACATCAATTATATACGGATGCTTTGAAGGAGATGAAGAACTAACATCAATCACTATACCAACAACAGTTAAAGAAATAGGATCTAGTTGTTTTAGTAAATGTTCATCATTAACATCAGTTAGTATACCATCAACAATCAGGGAAATAGAATTTAGATGTTTTAAAGAATGTACAACATTACCATCAATTATTATACCACCATCAGTTAGTGAAATGGGAAATTATTGTTTTGGATATTGTACAAGATTAAGTTCAATTGATTTATCATCTTCTGTTAATAAAATAGGAAATTATTGTTTTATTGAATGTTCATCATTACCATCAATTAATTTACCATCATCAGTTTGTAAAATCGGAGATTATTGTTTTTATAAATGTACATCATTAACTAACATAACCATACCATCAACAATTACATCATTTGGAAGAAGTTGTTTCTTTAAATGTGGATGTGAAGAAATGTTAAAGAAGAATGAAAGAATACCAAAAGAATGTTTTTATGAATAACAATGAAACAAACAAAGAAGAAATCTAAGAAATACAAGAGAATGATAAATAAAATGATTTGAAATTAATTTAATGAAGATAATAAAATTATAAACAGAAACAACAATAATAAGAAATAAACAATGAATAAAAATACAAATAATAATTTAATTGAATTTATTTGTAAATATATTGTATTGTAATCAGTAAAATAACATTAATAAATGGGTTGATAATTATTATTTATAAACATTATTCATTGTTTATTATCTCTTCTTTTATTTACATTATTGAAATTAGATAAATTACAATCACAAAAAAAAATATAAAAATGTTTTTTAATTTTCATGTTATATATTACAAATTACCAATATGGTAAAAATGCCGAATGTTATTATAATAAATCTCATATTTATTTATAAGTTCAATTTCATTCTAAATTATTCTTTTTTATTTTTATGTTTTTAATAACAAATTTAAAAATAAATGTTATTATAATAACATTTATTTATTTTGTTATTTTAATTTTTGAAATATTTTATTTTTATTTTATGATAATTTATTTATTTCTTCATTTTGTGTCATTATTATTTATTTATATTTCTTTCATCATTTGTGTTATAATAATTGATCAAATAAAATATAATAAGAATGAATTAATATTTATTATTTATTTCTGAAATATTTTCATTTTATTCTAATTTTTTTTGTTTTGTTTATTTTATATTTATTATTGAATTATTTGATTTAAATATTGTTTGATATATTCTTTTTATTATGTTTTTTATTTTATAATTTGTATTTCTATTTATTTATTTACAGTATATTCAATTAAACTTATTAGATTAGAATATTCATTATTTAATATCTTATTTTATTATCTGAAATCATTATAAATTTATTAATTCTATAATAATCAATTAATATTATTAATAAACATTGTTGAAATGATTTATTTAATAATGATATATAATATAAAACATCATTCAAATAATAAAATGAAAGTATTAATAATATGATATTATTCATATTAATATTCATAATAATTGTATAAATATTAATAATTGAATAATTTAATAAATTAAATGATTCAATACAAAAATAATAATATATTATTAAATATTTGAATAACATATTATAATTATTGATTGTATTTTTATTCATATATATTTTATCAATATTTAGAATATCATTATTTAATAATATCAGAATAAAATTAAAATATTTTTAAATTCATTTTGTAATGATAATGAATATAATTATTTCTATGTTTAATACACTTTATATTTATATCTATTTATTATTTATTTTCATTATCGATTTTATTAATCATTTATATTCAATTTATTGATGAATATCAATTAATTATAATAACTATTATATGATTAAATCATTATTTATTTTAGTAATCAATTAATATATTATTATATCATCATATTCAATGATAATAAATAATAACGTTAATAAAAATATATTAAATGATAGAATAAACATTCTTATTATTATTTCAATAATATGATATATTAGTTATAATGAAGTGTTTGAATATTATTAATCATTTTTAATAATTCTTTTGATAATGAATATATTTTATTTTTCATTATATTATATATTTGATAATTATAATTATTCTCTAATTAATTTTTCATATTTATGAATTAATATAATTAATATTTCAATCAATAAAATGATTAAATTTATTTCTATTCAATAATAAATAATTGAGTATTTATTATTGTATAAGTTTAAAAACATTTCTTTATATTAATTTTATCTCTTTTAATTCTCTTTTCATTTCAATCAAATATTGATACACAAAGTTAATAGAATTGTCAGAAAATATTGAAATGACATAACATATGATTCAATAAGTTCTGATAGTTAATATTTGTATTCAATTAATAATTTATATTTTTATAACATTTTCATTTTTTGTGTTTTTGTTATTCTAAAAATAAATTATTCTATTTTTGGATAATCTGATTGAAATAAAATATAAATCAATGATGTTTATTTCTAAATATTCTTTCTGTTTGTCATAACAGTGAAAATGAACCTATGATCATCATTTAATGACACAACAAGAAGAATTCTCAATTTCAATTGGAATGATTTAGGACTTACACACTCTTCAGTTGCTTATTACGATATTGTTAGAAATGAGCCTATCTTAATTCAAGATGAAATAAGAAAAAGAACAAATAGCATCGTGTGTTAGTCATTAGTGGAATGACATTAAAATATTTATATGAAATTGCACAAGAAAAACTTGGTAATCAATCAATATCAAATGTTATTGTTAATGTTCCAGTTGATTTTAATGATAGACAAAGTTAGCATGTAAATTAGCAGGAATTAAGAATGTTGAACTTGCTAATGAACCAATAGCTGCTGTTATTGAATACAAGAGGAACATCAAAGTTTATTAAAAAATGGAGATAGAATTGTAGTAATTGATTTTGGAAGAACATTAGATGTGTCATGTTGTAAAATAGCAAATGATAATATTATTATAGAGTCATGTGGAGGAAATCAAAATTTAGGAGGAAATAATTTTGATAAAGTATGAATGATATTATTAAAGAAAGAATAGAAGAAGATATTCCATGATATTATGAACAGAAAATAAGAATGACTCAAAAAGAAACAATAACATTCAACAAGAAATTAATTAAATTAAAGAAAGAATCAGAAAGAATTAAAATTAAATTAAGTAATAAAACTGATACTGAATTAGATTTAGAACTATTATTATCTGATGATTATGATAATAATATTATTGTTAATACGATTATTACAAGAAAAGAATTTGAAGAAGAATGTTACAAAAGAGGAATATATGAAGAATTTATTAATAAAATAAAACAAGTTACTCAAAGAAAAGGATACAAAAGAGGAAATATTAAATTAGTGATATTAAATAGTGGAATATGTAAAATACAAAGAATTAGAGAAGAAGTTGCTAAGCTATTTGATAAACAAACATTTTCTGATAATAACTTTAATCCACTTAATGGAGTTGTAAAAGGAGCTGCATATTTAGCTCAAGAAATTGCTATGTGTTATGAAGTTATATATGATATTGTTCAAACACCAATTGGAATAGAATTAGAAGGGTGAAAATTTGAAATAATTATTAAAGAGTGAGAAACACTTCCTACAAATATAATTACAAAAAGGTATTATACAACAAAACTCAATCAAACAACAATAAAAATTTAATATTTATAAAGGATTTGGTAGATATGTTAATTTATATAAAATGGAATACATTACTACAATTCGTATTGATGGAATTCCTAATGGAAAAGCTGGAGAACAAATAATTGAATTTACAATGCAAATTAACGAAAAGGGAGTGATGAATATTGGTGGTTCTGTTGTTGGAAATGATATCAAAAAAGAAGTGCATGTTAATATTGATTTATCTAAAGAAGATGATAAAATTACAAAATTAATAAAACATTTCCAAACATTTTATTAATGAATAATCTTAATTGATTTTTATTTTGATAATAAATTGATATAATGAATGAATAAAAGAGAATGAGAACTAAATAAAAAACAAATAAATAAATAATAATAGAATTTGTATTTATTATTTGTTATTCAATGGAGGTTAATCTTATCAATGAATCTTCGTCATATAATTCAACATCATATGTTTGGTTGTGGTAGAAGTAATGTTCAATGATATCTATCATATTCTTAATTACAATGTTTTTAATTTCTTTTATGATGTTAATTTCATTTTTAATTGTTTAATTAATTTAATACTTTCTATATTTATTAATTAATTTATTGAAATTACTACTGCATTTATTTTGATATCTTTTAATTTCTTTATTTTAATCATATTCTTCATTTCTTTATACTTATTTCTTTTATTCAAATATATTCCATTAATATTGTGATCTGCCACAATATTCATATCAAATAATAGATCAGTTTTATTCCTTTTATTTATTACATATATATCTGGTATTTTATGATATTATCATTCACTTTTTGATATTATTTATTTGTTCAATATCATATTGATGTCATTGTATTTGAACATTGTTTCATATGTTTATTTCTATATTAATTATTTCATATATATTTTCTTATTATTTAATATGATAATACAAATATTGTCATGTTTCTCATTTTGTGATTTCTTATGACAAATACAAGATAATAGAATGTGTTCTACTATTGATACATTGTATTTACAAAGTGGATAGTATTTTAATCTTTCATTTTTTAATATATTATCTTTTCTATACATATTGAATATTACTCAATCTTGTATTTTATTTAATTAGATAAAAGAATTCTTTTTAATATTGATGGAATTCAATACATTTATTGTAGTAGTTTTATCTATAAATTTTAATTCAATCAATATTCTAAAATATCTATTTATTTGATTTCAATTTATTGATGTATTTGTTTATCATTATTTTATTTATTTTTCATTATTATTTATTTTTATTTTCATTCATTTTTTATTATTTATTCTATTTCTATTTCTTTGATTTTATGTTTTATTATTTTTATTTATATTCATTATTCATTTATTTGAATATCATCTATCAAATATATTATTTGTTATTTCATTGTTGTATAATATTACATTACTATTCTAATTATTTCATTAATATATTTATTATTCATATTTATTATTCATTATTTCATTTATATTGACATATAGATTGTCTTTAGAATTACCAACATTAATATATTTTGTATTTATTATTTATTTTATTATCTCATTTCCATTCTATCTATTTTATCTTCAATTTTATTACTGATGTTGAATAATGAAGATATTAATTAATTCAGTACTAATTCTTGTATTATATCTTATATTAATACTTTCTTCACTATTTATTTCTTCAATCTTATTCATTATCTTTTATTCGATGATTTTATAATTAAATATATTATTAATTTCATCTGATTATCATATATTTAAATATTTATACAATTCACCTATTTCATTTATTGATATGTTTTCATTTTAAGATGATATTTGATTAATATTCTTTATTTCTTGTTTTATTTTCTTTCATTTCTTTATTCTATTTATTATTTATTTTATTGTTGTTTATTCTCATTTATTCATTATTTTGTATCATTATTCTCATTTATTCATTATATAATGCATGATTTATATTATTGAACTTATATTCATTGATTTGATAATTTGTATTTATTTGATGATAATAGAATTGATAATGAATCATAATGTAAAATTCCTCATTTTAATATATCATTTATATTCATTATATTTATATCATATGATTATATTCATCATATTTTATATATTATTTATGTTGATTCATTTTATATTAAATTATTTTAATATTTCTATTATTTATTCATGATTCATTGATTCATATGATTTATTAATATCATAAT